ATCATCTCACACATCAGAAGAGCAAGAAGCCTCCACATCATGTGCCACATCCCCGTCTTCTGCTGGATCTCATCCACTGTGCTTCAAAACCTCCTGAAAGAAGATCTGAGTGCAGAAATCCCTCAAACTCTGACTGAACTGTACATCCACTTTCTGCTGATTCAGATCGTTGTACTGAGATCTTTAAAGAGGAATCTGTGATTCATCAGAGGAAAGTCTACAGCTTTATTCATCTGAGCGTTCAAGAGTTTCTCGCTGCTTTCTATGTGTTTTACTGTTATTTAAGCAGCACCATGGAAGCCCTTAAGACTTTTGATTCAATGCATAATTTGCATAAAGGTGCAGTAGATAAAGCCTTAGAAAGTAAAAATGGACACCTGGATCTGTTCCTGCGGTTCCTGCTGGGCATCTCACTGGAGTCTAATCAGAGACTCTTACAGGATCTACTGACAAACACAGAGAACAGCTCAGAGAGCATCAGGAGAACCACACAATACATTAAAGAGAAGATCAAAGATGGACGTGGACTCTCCACTGAACGATCCATCAATCTGTTCCTCTGTCTCCTCGAAGTACAAGATCAGACTCTGTCCAGAGAGATTCAGGAGTTTGTGAAATCAGACAAACACACAGAGAACAAACTCTCTCCATCTCACTGCTCAACAATTGCTTACATGCTTCAGATATCAGAGGAGCCGCTGGATGAGCTGGATCTCAAGAAATACAACACATCAGATGAGGGCAGAAGAAGATTTATACCAGCTGTGATCAACTGCAGAAAAGCTCTGTGAGTGTTTAATCATGTGCAACAATGAAGAGTCTCTTCTGAATGGGATTGTATTTTCTGTTGTTTTGCTTATTTTTAGAATGTCCTGATCTGTTTTACAAGAATTAAGCAGATATGATTCAAATGCATTGAAATTGTAGAATGGGGTTAAGAATTTAATTATTTTGTGTTCTGCTCTGTTTCAGTCTTGCTGGCTGTAATCTCACTGGTCAATCCTATGAAATTGTGTCCTCAGCTTTACAATCCTCAAACTCTGTCCTGAGAGAGCTGGACCTGAGTAACAATGACCTGCAGGATTCAGGAGTGAAGCTACTCTCTGATGGACTGAAGAGTTCAAACTGTCAGCTGAAGATATTAAGGTGTTTTAGAACATTAGAAATTCTCAAGTTCTTATCAAGGCAACAGGTCCTTAAGATCAGTTGTCACCAAACACCTTCCCTCTTCCCCTCTTTCTGCCCAGTTAAATCTTTGAAATCAAGCTGACGCAGGAGGTGAGGCCAGTATGAGGGGTTTGCCTGAAGACTTGATATATTAATATCCGACTCCGAAAGCCCTTACGCAAAGAAAATATATTTCCTTAGATATGAATGATCAATATATTAAAGGGGTCATATGATGCTTTATATATTTCTTATATTTTAGAAATATTTACATTATGTTTCTTATTTTCATAAGTAGCTAGTTAACAACAGCACAAGCACACCTGTATGTACTAAAGTATTTAGCAAAGAGAAGATAACTGTGTTGAAGTGTGCACAGCTATTACTTTTTAAATAAAGTAATATATAGTCTTATTGGTGTTCGGCCAGTCGTCAACCTAACCACATGCTCTGCTCTTCAGCACAATAGTAACCCCAAAAACTCAGACATACCAGAAACCCTTTGAAATTCCAAAATAATAGAACATTAAACACTAACAGATCTCTGCCTATATTAATATTGAGCAAAACATATGAAATAACACTTAATTTGTAAGATTTTTCTCCTTTAACAGTCAGAAGCAAAGTATGCTGGGAGCTAGAAACCTGCTGAAACTCATTCTGTGAATGTGTGTGTTTATGTGTTCATACATTCACATTTATATGGGAACATGTATGTGCAATATATATGCACAATAAAGGATACAATTTTATGAATGTTACATGTAATGCTATTTTTGTCTTTATTTCTAAATATTTTATATGTATCTATCAATATATAGCCATACATGTTCAATCCATATATTGCAGTATATTGAAAAATATAAGCACTAGTTTCCCATATATGCAAATGTAATATATCACATTATATTTTGCAGTATTTTCCAATACATTTTTGTTCCGTAAGGGAGCCCATCTTTCTGTAATGTCTGCAGATTACACTAATATAATAATAAGTGTGCAAACTATTTTCTTTGACATGACCAAAATTCAGCACTCAGCGTTAGGATTTTAATGCGCTGTGTCAAGTTAAAAATAGTTTAAAAATGGTTTAAAATAGCCTATTTCAAGATGCATTTTAGCATTTTACTCCTCCTGGCTTATGCTCACTTTAGAGTGAATGTCCTGTGTCTGTCTGTGTGATGCATGATCATGACTGATCATTGTTTCACGATCTTTGGTGTCACTTCAGAGAATTCATGTATAAACAGTACCTTGATGGCATGAGAACGGCAGTAAGGACATTAATTTTAAACTTTTATTAACAATATTAAATATTGTTAATATTTCTCTTATTACTGGGATTGTTCCGTGTGAACTTAAGGTTGCAGCTATCACACCAGTCCCTAAAAAGCCTGGATGTGATACCTCTGATCTAACAAATTATAGGCCCATTTCAAATCTTCCTTTCCTGGCTAAAGTCCTGGAACGTGTTGTTTTGGCACAATTACATTCTCATTTGTCATTAAACAACCTTTTAGAGCCTTTCCAATCTGGCTTTAGGACGGGGCACAGTACTGAGACCGCCTTGGTTCGCATTATGAACGACCTCCTGGTCTCAGCTGATACTGGTGCCTCTACCATTTTGGTTTTGTTAGACCTGAGTGCAGCATATCTGTCTTCAGCTCTGAGTTCAAACCCCTCACACCTGAGAGAGCTGGATCTGAGCTACAATCACCCAGGACAAGCAGGAGACCAGCTGCTTTCTGACAAACTGGAGGATCCAAACTGCTCACTAAAGATACTCCAGTATGTCGGGTACAAGTTAAGAAACCTTAATGTCTGCAGCACGAGACAAAACATTGCTTAGAAATTAAAATCACAATTTCTTCTTCTGGTACTTCTCATCTCTGCATGTACTAATTAAATCCCTGTTACTTCACAAAATATAGTTGTACCATATTTTTTAATGCTGTTTTTATATATTTAGTAGCATTTTACAGTGAAAGTAGAACATGGACAGAGTTGCTCCGTTCCATAAATCTAAAATGGACAAAAAGTGTTTGCTGAAAATAAAACTGAAAAAGGCAATGAATTTAAAAAATCAAAGCATTTGAGGATAGATATTTTTTTTTTGTTGTTGTTCAAATTAAGTTTTACAGAGTTACTTAATGCAAATCGTTTACAACTAAATATTAATTATGAAGACATTAAAGCTTTTTCCTGTTAAGCTGTCCACTATGTTCTGAAGACACTAACATTGAACAGCTTTGTAAACTGAATGATATGTGAGGAAACACTAAACAAATGGATTTGATTTGACTCTTTTTATTAATGCTCTCTATGTGAATAACATTTCAAACTTCTTATAATTATTTGTGTGTGTGTGTGTGTGTGTGTGTGTGTAGTTTGGGCCATGCAGAGCCTTTCAGGATCCAACCAGGACTTCGAAAATGTAGGTTCTTTCTCTGACACACTCTTGCACATTTAATGACAACAAACAAAGTATACAACTGTTTTTGTCTGTCTTCTTGTGTTCAGATTTCTGTGATCTCACATTGGATCCAAACACAGCAAACACTCAACTCATTCTGTCTGAGAACGGAGAGGTGAAATATGTGGATCAGCAGCAGCCGTATCCTGATCATCCAGAGAGATTTAAAGATATTCCTCAGGTTCTGTGTCGAGAGAGTCTGACTGGACGCCATTACTGGGAGGTTGAGCGGACTGGCTGGGCTCGTGTAGCAGTGGCCTACAAAACAATCAGCAAAGAAGGGACTGTTGGTAAGTTTGGATACAATAACAAGTCCTGGTGTCTCTTCTGCACTGTTGATGGATTTGTTGTCTGGCACAACAATGTGAGCAACAACAGAGCTGCTCCTTCCCCCTCCTCTAAAAGAGTAGGAGTGTATCTGGACGTGTCGGCCGGCACTCTGTCCTTCTACAGCATCTCTGACACACACACACTCACACACTTACACACATTCAACGCCACATTCACTGAACCCCTCTATGCTGGGTTTAAGGTTTTTGATTCCTCACTGTCACTGTGTAAGATCACACAACAGACAAACAACTGACTTCTACTTCTGTCCTAATCACAGTCATATGACTGTTTATGAAAAGATTTGTTGTATGAGGTATATCATTTGAAATAGTAAATGCATGTTGTACTTTCAAATGTTGTTAAACACAAATGTGTAAAATTACTATGTATATTCAGTCCCACTTTATGTTAGATAACTACTACCTATGTCAAAAAAGCACTTATTGTGTTGATGCTGTATTGCAAAACACTGTTGCTGCTACTGATGTGAGATATGGGTGAGGTTAAGGACAGGTTTTGTGGTATGGTTAAGTTTCAGGGTGGGTTAAGGCATAGGGATAGGGTCAACAGTGTAATTATAGACGTAACTACAGAAATTAGTAACAGAAGTAATAGTTATGATATATAAGATTTTAAGAGAGCAAACATACATTTGTGTTGTACGTCATTCATGCTGTTTCTTTATCTCTTCCACATTAGTTCCTACACGTATATAACATAGATGTACTGCAATCATTTCAATCATTTTTATGTTATTTTTCTGTTACTGTTTAAACCAGTGCTTTAAGTGGAAAAAATGAAGTGCCGGTACTCACTCCCCTATTTATTTATTTATTTATTTATTTATTTATATTAAATAAATAACTTTTTAATAATTCACAATGTATGTATAGTACCACAATCAATCAATCAATAATTAAATCAAAGACCACTAAATCACCTGCCTACTATACGGATCCATTCAGTATCGCTCAATCTCCGACCACCGCATAATCAGCGTTCATTATAAAACGCTCTTGCTTTTAAGCTAAATTACGGAAGTCCTAAGAGGCCATGGATTATTAATTTTTTTTCTTTCTTGTTTTGTCGTGATAACGACTTCATTATCTCGTGATTTCGACATAAGTTATTTTCTCTATCGTTAAGTTCTTGCTAGATGCGTGACTCATCACAGTTTCATCCCCGCATAGCGTTCCGTGTGATAAACGAACTGCTTATTAAAACCAGTGTTGATGTCACTGTATTCTGTTTGCACCTATATCTTTATTTGTGCATCTTTGAAGTAGGCCTACATGATTGCTAGTTAATAAGCGGGGATGTTGTGTTTATCTAGGACGCGCTTCAATGACATATTTGTAATGTGCATCTTTTCCTTATTTTTTGTCAATCATTAAATGTATATTGATAAGAAATGTGATTTATATATGTAAAGTGTAGCCTATAGGCTAATTTAATTAAGTGATGTTCTACAGTGTTGTAATCTTTTGTATTTTCTACATTTCTTTGTGGAAACCACACACACACACA